TTTTAACTAATAGGTACATATGTAACATTTAAAATGAGTATACATATGACATACTATAAGCTTGATAAATATATTTTATTACTGTTTTAATGGACGAACTCAAAGTGTTCAAAACTGCCCCCCAGGGGGGCACCTTTGAACAGGGGTTGGCATTTTTGAACGACATGGTTTTTTACTGTGTTTATGTTCAAATATGTATGTATTTTATTCATACATATCAGAAATGCATTAATTCATTAAAAAATATATAAAAATGTTCAAAATTTAAAAAATTTAGATCAAAAGTTATTAAAACATAAAATGACTTAAAAACAAAAATTAATATGGTGAAAAATACAGTTAATTTCGTAATCATATTAGCCCATTTGAAATTTTGAGAAATCGAAGCCAAATGTTAAAAACTCCTTTTTTTACTCGAGTTTAATGGGCATGTTCAAAGGTGCCCCACCCATGGCATTTTACGGAAATTTAAAAAAAACTTTTTTTGTAATAAATATATATGAAAGAAATTACATTAGTTATGTTTGAAATGATTGTTGGAATGCAAAAAATTTGTTTGACGAAAGAAAACTATCACAGAATTCTTCCTGCGCCCTTAAAACCAAATGAATAAAAGTTTACAATTACACTGAGAAAACATGGTCACCCATGCACAATTTTTCGACAACTGAAAAAGCAAGCCAAAGTGGTTTACGCATATAGAGAACAAGATTGCCATATACAAAAATGTGGTTGCGGGTCGGAAAAATATTAAACCAAGATTTTATGAGCGCTGTTCAAAGCTGCCCCACGTTCAAAGGTGCCCCCCTCTCCCCTATATTAAACAGGACTATTAACATGAAATTGGATGAAATAAAATATGTGATATTTATCTAAATGTGAATCTAACTCGATCTATTCATAAAGTATATAAATCGACTTCAAACAAATATAAATAGGTCATCAGTAGGGCTATGTCTGTACTTCTAGAAAACGCAACTACGTAATTCTATGCTAAATTTTGTACGTTGTGCAAAATTTGATGTCAATCTGACTAACATGAGGAGATTGATGCCCAATTTACTTGAAATCGGGAGAAAATATATATGGAAGCTCTATCCAAATATTAAGCGAATTCAAACAAACTTGTCAGGTTAGGTTATACTAATTTCAGAACGTTTTGTTCCTATTGGTTCCATGGTGCATCAATTACTTAAAATCAATCTATAATAAAAGGGAGCTATATCTAAATCTGGACCGATTTTCTCGAAACGTGGCCGACATCACTCTAGGCTCAATTCAGTACGTTATACCAAATTTCGTGCAAATCGAAGGATATATAGCGACTTTGGTGCACCATTTACATGAAATCGGACGAAACTATATATGGGAGCTGTATATAAATCAGGATCGATGTTCGTGAAACTAGGCAGACATCATTCTAGGCTCTATTAAGTACGTTATAACAAATTCCGTGCAAATCGAAGGATATACAGGGACTTTGGTGCACCATTTACATGATATCGGACGAAACTATATATGGGAGCTTTATCTAAATCTTGACCTATTTTCACGAAACTTGGCAGGCATCATTCTAGACTCAATTCAGTACGTTATGCCAAATTTCGTGCAAATCGCAAGATATATGTGGTTCACCATTTACATGAAATCGAACGAAACTATATATGGGAGCTATATCTAAATATGGACCGATTTTCACGAAACAAGGCAGACATCACTCTAGACTCAATTAAGTACGTTATGCCAAATTTCGTGCAAATCGAAAGATATATAGCGACTTTGGTGCACCATTTACATGAAATCGGACGAAATTATATGTGGGAGCTATATAATTTTCTGGACCGATTTTCATGAAACTTGGCAGACCTCACTCTAGGTTCAATTCAGCACGTTATGCCAAATTTCGTGCAAATCGAAAGATATATAGGGACTTTGGGGCACCATTTACATGAAATCGGACGAAACTATATATGGGAGCAATATCGAAATCTGGACCGATTTTCACGAAACTTGGCAGACATCATTCTAGACCTAAATGATTAGGCTGTACCAAATTTCGTGCAAATCGAAAGATATATAGGGACCGTTTAATATATATATATATGGGAGATATATCTAAATCTGAACCGATTTTTCCCAATTTCAATAGGGTTCGTCCTTGGGCCGAATAAGTGACCTGTGCCAAATTTCATCCAATTCGGATCATAAATGCGACCTGTACTTTGTTTACAATTTAACATGGACAGACAGACAGACAGACGGACGGACATGCATTAATAGACTTAGAAAGTGATTCTATGCATATTCTCAAAAGGAACCATGTGTCTATCTCGTTTCCTTTTGCCTGTTACAAACATATGCACAAAGACATAATAACCCTGTACCACAGTGTGGTGAAGGGTATAACTAGGGCTTTAAGTCAAGCTTCAACCCGGTCGCGTATCGTTTTAAAATTTTTAGCATATGCCGTCCTTGAGGCCCTGCATACGACTGTATATATTAATCCGTATTTCCGTAGATATGGCCCTCCAATGTTCTGCTTGGACACTTGTCGTTTCTCATGATTTATGTGTCTCCTTTATCATTTTAAAGATTCAATACATTGATTAAAAAGTAAATGTATTGGGACAAAATGTTTTTACAAAGAAGATTCTGTTGCGTAGCCTGAGTTGCCACCAGTCCATTGGAAAAAGTCTTTAATCCCACCCTCAAAAAGAAGATTCCATATTTGTCATCTGTCCATAGGAGAAAGTCTTAAAACCACTGTAGAAGTCCGGCCACCACTTCTACTTTTCATTAAAAAAAAGAATGTCTCAGGAAATATGCAATTTTTTGATTATATAATTACAATTAGCAAACTTGCATTTAATTGACACTCATATTTTTTTTACGAATTTTGAAAGGGTCACCGTGGAATTTTGGAGGCCCATACCTTAGGAAGTACGGTCTTTTTTCGAAAAGAAAATTACACTTTTGTAATCAGAACTTCAAACGCATTAAGATTATACCTATATTTATTCATCCGAAATACAAGGGTCCAAGAGGAACTTTAGAGGCCCATACCTCCGGAAATACGGATATCCGCAAGAACTTATTTATATCAGTTTAATCAGGGGTTCAGGACAATGAGGACAACATATTATACAAATTTCAAAACTAGCCGCGAAAGGGCCAAAACTAGAGTAGTTCCATAAAATTATTTCATTGGGTGCTAATACAGGGCTGTGCGTTGGATGACCCATCAACTCCAAGTTTTACCCAAAAATAGACTGGATTGAGTATCTTTCGCTTGTTATTAAAATTTCGTGAAAGACTTCAGACAAATTACATATAGAATACTATTCAAAATTGAACGCATTACATTGTCCAAGGTAAACAGTAGCAAGTAGCGCATAGATCTATGATTCGTAAACTTTTGGGTTCTTGTAAAGAACTTTTGAGCACCGCGATCTTCTTTTTCGCATAACTTATCACCAAACGAGACAATTTTTTTACTCGCTTTTAAATTGTGCGGTATCTAACGATTAATTACACCCAGGGGTTCATGCCAAAATGAATGCACGCTGGTAGATGTTCCTATGACGATTTTGCATTATGTGTTATAGGACGATTCCACATTCTTTGATATAGGAATTTTATTTATCGTCATACAAAGATGAAAAAATTTTCAAAGAAACGATTATTTAAAAATATAATTTTTTTTTTTGAAAATTATTGAAGAATTTTTGAAAATGATCAGAGCTTTAAAAATTGACTTTCAGCTTGTCCGGAAAGACTCCCTTCATCTTGTCTATGAAGACTCCCTTCAGCTCATCTATAGTGATTCCCTTTTAGCTCTCAGATAAAGATTTTTTTAGCTCTTATGTAAATACTCACTTCTACTCGAAATTCGTGCAAAACAGTTTTTTCCTAAACGGCATTTACATTTCAACTTTTTCCGGGTTAACCTACTTTGTGACGATTTATTTGAAATATATTCAAAGGAATTGACAATTTAAACCCACAGGGTTAACGTAATCCGGTACAATGTAAACGTACTATTATACTATAGATTGTTCCTTACACTGAACGACTAAGTTGTAAGGTCATTATAAGGTTGTGAGTCTCTAAGAGTTTGTAAAACAATAAAATATTTTTTCTAGACCCACTGATTAGTATGTCAACCATCATATCTCGATTAGAAGAGACGGTCTAAATAGGTGTGTCTGCCTATTATAACTTTTAATTTATTAACTGACCGCAGTTGGGGACCGTTCGTCAGGATATTTTGCATGTCAACCCTGTTCCGGTTTATGAAAATAGTAATAATCCATTAAGGTCGGCATCTCTAAACACTTTTTTGGACAACATTAGAATCGAAATATTGCGACATTTTCCATTGGGAAGTGGAAATTAACTTAATTCGCATTTTTGGGTGTTGTATTAAATCGCTGAGTAACGGATCGAGGGAAAGTACTTAATTGATAAAATTTTTACCGAATAGCCGTCGTTTATCCGATTGAAACAAGGTTTTACATAGCGTACTGAATTGGGTCTAGAATGGATTTTGTTAAATTAGGTTTAAATGTGTTTAGATTTAGACATAAATCCCATTAACATGCTAATTTGCAATTATGTTTGCTTCAAATCGGTTCAAATTTTGAACATAGCTTCCATATCTATTTTTGTTCCTACAACACTACCGTTTTCCGATTGAAATACTATTTTGCATATACATATTTTAAAATTGATTCTATACCTTGGGTACTTTTCCTACCTTTATACTTACAAACGTGAAATTCATATAAACAATATACATATTGATAAATTTATTTATTTAGTTTATTTTTTTGTAATAGGCACAGAGTTCGAAGCACAGCTGTTGAATAAAAAATAATAGTTCTACAAAATTATTTAATAATTAATTTGTAAAGTTTATTTTGGGCAGCGCATATGATGTAATCAAATCTGCATATGGAAATACCAGATTTCCTCTTCATACAGATTCGATGACACGTTTCAAGTCTCTAGAAGCAGCGGCATTTATCAGTTGGACACTGAGAATCATAATTAAGACATTGGTCCATGCACCAGGTGTCGGTACCTTCTTTACCAGCCAACTCACCAATGGCAACACATTCTTGACTGTAAGAAGAAAAATAGGTTTTTAGTAAATATTTAAGAGGGATTTTGTAAATTATCATATCAAGAGGTAGACGAGGAAAAAACAAATCACGTTAATTAATGTTGTGATTCCTATTTGACTGGCTTTTTTCAATATTTTCGATTATTTGTAAATTTATAATACTTACGGGCAATGACAGGCCGTTGCCGGACAATTGGGTGGATAACGCAAACAATTAGTTTCACACCAATTATCCATACCAGGCAAAGCACGGAAGGCAGGAGATGCAATACACTTTTGATCTCTGTAAGTGAAAAGCAAAATATAAATTTTGTAAAGTGTAATTTCATGTCAAAATAATTATTGTCATATTATTTCAGTTTGAAAAAAGTAAAGACGTTTGTAACACAAAATAATATATACTTAAAAAATATTAAAAATAAAATAGAGATTTTTCAAAATTTATAATTGAAAAATATTGTGCCCTCAATAAATACTAGAATGAGCAGCAATAACAACAGGTATGTAACAATTAATCTATCTTCGAAGTTTGACCGATATTACCTCCTTTCAAAATCAAATATTCAGATATCTGTCAAACTTCAAGGACTTCCCTTGAGTAGATATCACTGACATTTTAATTTTATTTCAGAAAAGAAAATGTTTGGGATCGTCTAAGCAGAGTACGGAAATCGACGAGTTCGGAAAACCTCGTCAGATCTAGAACGAATTTGAGATCGAAGCCATCACAACGTTTTCAGCTAATGAAACAAATGGCGGCAAATCATCATAAGCAGCAACAACAACAACAACATCCGAAGCATCAATCAATGGCACAAAGAGAAAGTCCTCGGCGGCCCTTAACACCTAACTCAAATCGAAGTGGTCCTGGTGTTTCACGTGCATCCAAATGTTGTCCACCAAAACCTATTGTAATGCCTCAGATGGATAATCGTGGATATTTCTTCAACAACAAACCAACAAAAATGCTAAAAGAACTTATGAATGCACGAAGCTTAATCAATTCCAAATCATCTATGGCAATGGATGAGAATCGAACCGGTGCAGGACACACTAGTAGTATATCAATTCCAAGAAAAAGTTCCACAAATTTATTGACACCACCAAGCTACACAAAATTATCTCGGGAAAAAGAAGATTATGAAACCGAGGAGGAAGAAATGGGCGAAGAGGAAGAATATAAATTGGCCCCGCTAATGTCTTCAAGATCACATTTCAATTTGGAAAAGAGTAGTCGCCATATCCTAAGACATTTCCATGAAGTTCTACAGGAACGAGGCAGAGGTGATATGTCACCTGAGGAATTGGAATTAGTGAAAAATGTTCTCAAATCAGATGAACGTTATCGTTGTGTAGATAAAAATAATCCAAAACTATATAAGGATATTCTCAAGGATCAACTAAAGGATATTCTTAAACATGAACATGTTGTCAAACAGGCTTTACATAAATTGGAATCTAAAGAAAGTCTCCATCCAGAACTACATGATAAAGAACATTTGGAAGAGTCCCAGATTTGCACACCTTGTCCGGAGGAACCTAAGAAACTGGAAGTAGATGTGGTGTTCAAAAATGTACCCTCTCTTGAAAGAGAAATATTAATTCTACGAGCATTGGGTGAGAAATTGGAATCAACATTAAATAGAACCAATTCACAACGAAATATTGTCAAATATCAAGACATCAAGGACACTGAGAACAGAATAAAAGAAAATCTGAATTCAAATATTCCACCAATAATATTGCAAATAAAACCCTTTGGTTATGTGAGAGGTCCCGAGCACAATGCCTCAATTGTATTGGCCCCACTAAGCATCAGGCTTATTATTGGTATTGCAATGGAATTTTATATTGCTCAAAAATCTATTGTAGAACTGAAGAACGATGCCAATCAATCATTCTTTATGCCACTGGATTCCGAAAATCCCGAAATGAAAAAGACCTCATTTATGAAACTCAAAGAAAATCCAAATATTTTCATAAAATACATTAAATCAAAAGATCCGGCAGTTTCATTCAACCTACTGGATCATGATCCAATCTTCTTTAATAATATTCTGAAGAATAACAAAACAACAAGTGATATAACAATCGATAAAGAACAGGAGGAAATCAGTAATGCAGAACATCAAGATTCCTTTATAAATTCTCAAAATAGGTCGCCTTTTACTACGGTGGAGAAATTAAATGAAGGAAAAGAGGAATTATTAGCAGTAGTTGACCTCCAGCAGCGACATTTCGTGAGAGTTAAGCAACGTCGCCGCATTCGAAAATCTGTTACCCCTCTGCTTGTGGACAAGCCCGATGCGAATCCAAAAAATCATCTCTTGAAAACCATTTTAGTTGGTGTAGTACAAATCTCCTGTTTTATGCTACTCATTATGGCCTTCACCCTACCCGATGCCAAGTGCTGAATAACTGATATAATAGTTATTTTTTTTTAAATTCTGGAATGTTTAACGGAAATTTCGGAAGTTCAACTTATGTTTATTGTGTTTTATTCATTAGTTTAACTTCGGTAATATCCAATTTCAATAAATTATTTAATTTTTTTTTGGAGTTTTAACTAAAGAAGTATTGAAATAGCCGTGATAAATTCTGGATGGAGGGTCAGTATGTTTTTGTTTTTATTTACAAATATTGTAAATTGTAAACATAGTTATGGACCAATCGTCACGAAATTTTGTATATGGGGTGGATTCTGACCAGGAAAGAACCCTATAATTGTTGGTAATGTTCCGTTAATATTTAGGGGATGAAATGGACCAAAAATTAATTTTTTTATGTTTTTTTGATCACTCTAGCGGCCACAATTATAACCCAAACATTATGAAATTTTGCATTGAGAGGCAAATCAGGCCAAAGAAAAAGCACGGCTGTTTTGGTCAATATTTAGCGTGTCAAATGGACCCAGACTTTAGTGTGAAAAATTACAAAATTTTTATAAGACGTAGATCGGAAAAGTTGATAATATATCGAAGATCTTTAAATTGATATACGTAAATATTTGAAGAAGTCTATGTGATATGATATTACTCCACTAGAGGGCGGAAATGTCGCGCTGATCGCTTTGCAATTTTACATAAAGTTCCGGTTATGGTCCAGGGCGCCGCCTATAATTTTCATTGATGTTGAGATGATATTTAAGGGGTTGAATAAACCGAAAACTTTATTTTTTACAGATGTTCTAGTCTCTCTAGATGTCATTATTATATGCAGATCATCTCATATTTTACACGATGAAGGTGATCTGACCAAATACGTAGAACGGCTGTTATATGATGATCGCTCAATATTCCGAGCGTCAAATAAACCTAAACCTTCGGTGTAAAGGGACATAGTTGTTATTTTATGGTGTAAATATTCACTTCGGGAAAACAAGATTTGGAAAATATGCCATGTTTAGAAAGTGGAACTGTTGACCTATATTATCGGTCAAGATGGTGTAAATATCTCGAAATATTGCCCAGGATCAGAATATGGAATCGCATACTTAGAACGGCTGTTTAGATGATGATCGGTCAATCAACCGAGGATAAACTCAATCAAAAAAGTCGGTGTAAAGTGACAAAGTTGTATTTAATATTCACATTGGGAAACAATAAATGGAAAATATGCCAAGGTTAGAAAGAGGAACTGTTGACCTATAATCGGTCAAGAGGGTGCGAATATCTCCAAATATTGTCCAGGCTCAGAATATGGAACCACAGAAAATTAAACTATTGTGGTAGTTGTGTAGGGTATCATATGGTCGGAATCATCCGACAGTACTGCTCCGCTCACTGGTTTTTAATATGGATATTTGATACTCTATGAGATATTTCTATGGATATTTGATACTCTAGATCAAGTTTGAAGATGGGACCCATTGGTTCACTCCTTCTGGTACCTCCCCCACAAAATGATCAAAATTGTGGAAAAAAATTAGTTTTATAATGAAATGCAAATGGACTATCAGATTTTAACGAAACTTCGTACAACCTATTATCTTTACCAAGCCTAGATCGAGTTTGAAGACGGAACCCATTGGCCCGCTCTTTCGGGTACCTCGCCCACAAAATTGTCAAAATTTTCAATTGTTTTTTAAAACCAATATTAGGGATGGGAATGTCCGATTTGAACCAAACTTTGCACAACCTATTATCAACCTTATGGCTAAGGGTTTATATACTTTGATACGGCGAAAATGTGCCTCATCGAAATATTGGTTTTAGACCCCATGTTTCTTTGGACCAAATCGGTTTCAGAATATTTGGTTTCGATTTACACATGTCCGTCCGTTGTCCGTCTGTCTGACTGGCTGGTGCGCACGATAAATCTCGAAGTTAGCAACCGATTCCATTCAAACTTTGTATATTTTAATATTTCTTCCAAACTCCTTCGCCACCCATTCGCCACTCCTACTGGCACCTCCCCCACAAAATGTTGAAAATTGTGCTAAAAATTAATTATTATTTTTACCAAGCCTTGATCGAGTTTGAAGACGGAACCCATTGGCCCACTCTTTCTGGTACCTCGCCCACAAAATTGTCAAAATTTTCATTTTTTTTAAATCCAATATTAGGCGATGGGAATGTCTGATTTGAACCAAACTTTGCACAACCTATTATCTTAACCAAGCCTCGATCAAGTTTGAAGATGGGACCGATTGGTTCACTCTTTCTGGTACCTCCCCCACAAAAATCTTCAATATTTATAAATCCAATATTAGGCTATTGGAATGTCCGATTTGCATAATCTATTATCTTTACCAATCCTAGATCAAGTCCGAAGTTGGGACACAACTGCTCTCTTCTCTGGTACATCCCACAAAACGGGTTAATATTACATATTTGATCAACATAAAATCCGAAACCTATTTAATTAAACATAAACCTTATATAAAAGGAAGAAGACCTCCTCCGCAAGCCATAGGGTGAGGGTATACCTCAGTCGGCAACACCGACCGACACTTTTTTTACTTGTTTAATATACCGAAATTAAAAGGGATACCCCGAAAATTGGACCAATGTTAATAATTTTTAGTAGGGATATTTCGTACTCTGTCAGAAACCAAAATAGTGTGTTATAGCCCATTCGTTTGAACAACGTGTCAAATATCCTCAAAATACAAAAAATCGGGGGTACCATTATATAGTCCATATGTTTCCGACTAATTCCCTTTCGGTTGATTTCTGCGGCCGAGAATTTGAAAATTTGGTTCAACGTACTGGTAAATGCAAACGTACCCGCGATAATAAAGTTTCTGATTTGTATACCCTTCACCACACTGTGGTACAGGGTATTATGTCTTTGTGCATATGTTTGTAACTGGCAAAAATAATCGAGATAGATCCATGGTTCCTTTTGAGAATATGCATAGAATTACTTTCTGAGTCGATTTATGCATGTCCGTCCGTCCGTCTGTCTGTCCATGTTAAATTGTAAACAAAGTACAGGTCGCATTTATGATCCGAATGGGATCAAAATTGGCACAGCTCATTTGTTTGTCCCAAGGACGAACCCTATTGAAATTGGAAAAAATCGGTCCAGATTTAGATATAGCTCCCATATATATTTTCGGCCGATTTAAGGTAAATGGGTTACCAAAGTCCCTAAATATCTTTCGATTTGCACGAAATTCGTTATAGTCTACTGAATTAGGTCTAGAATGATGTGTGCCAAGTTTCGTGAAAATCGGTTCAGATTTAGATATAGTTCCCATATATAGTTTCGTCCGATTTTAGGTATATGGTGCACGAAAGTCCCTGAAAATCATTTGATTTGCACGAATTTTGGCATAGCGTATTGAATTATGTCTAGAATGACGTGTGCTAAGTTTCGTGAAAATCGGTTCAGATTTAGATATAGCTCCCATATATAGTTTCGCCAGATTTAAGGTAAATAATGTACCAAAATCCCTATATATCTTTCGATTTGCACGAAATTTGGGAAAGCCTACTGAATTAGGTCTAGAATGATGTGTGCTAAGTTTCGTGAAAATCGGTTCAGATTTAGATATAGCTCCCATATATAGTTTCGTCCGATTTCAGGTAAATAGTGCACCAAAGTCTTTGAAAATCATTTGATTTGCACGAATTTTGGCATAGCGTATTGAATTAAGTCTGGAATGATGTGTATACCTCCTATATATATTTTCATCCGATTTTAATTAAATTGTGCACAAAAGATCCACAGCTAGGCCTATTGACACAACATATTGAAATTAATATAAATTAATCTCTGGCAAGTTTGCTTCAAATCGGTTCAGATATTTTGCTTTAAATTTATTTACATAATGTTGTCCCATTGTAAGAAGCAACTCTATATCTGACAAAAATTTAGTATAGGTTGCAGAATGACATGTTTAATTTCATGTTAATGGTCCTTCAAGAATGCGACGTCTGTTAGGATTTCGTCTGTTGGATATACCCAAAGTGGTGAAGGGTATCATATAGTCGGCCCCGTCCGACTTTACTACTTTCCTTAATGGTTTTACTTCGATTTGTTACAAGAGACATTTGGGTATGAAAGGTTTTTTTGTAAAGAAGCAATAAATAGCTTATGGGGAGAATATCCCAACAAAAAACTAAGGAAACTGGCGAGATCCGAAACTAAGTCTTCTCTGCTTACCCCTCGGCGGACAATGCCATACATTCCCCATTAATAAATAAGTGTTTTTTTATAAAAACAGCAAACTGTTGCTGACTATTTTGCAAAAACCAAGTTTGTGAAATATCTCAATCAGTTTGCGTTGAATTTAACAGTCTGCGTTGAAAAATCCTTTTTATTCATGGCGGGGTTTTGTTGGCTTGGTAAATTTTCGAAATAAATTATATAACCGCCATCTACAGGTCACCTTAGTGACTTCAACAGAAGTAACGGATGGGTTATTAAAATGCAACACGGGTTTCATTAGTTTATTTACAGTGGTATTGCTATTTCTCAATAGATGGCGCTGCTCAAAATATATACAAGAAAGAGGTTGCCAATTATAAGTATTTACACGTTAATTTAAATAAATTAAATTAAATAGATTAAAGCGGGATATTTACAAAATTAATTTATAAAAACATTATCTTATATATTAAAGTATTATATTATTTTTATAACCATAACCATATTTAAAGAAGTTCAAAGAATAAAACAGCATTTAGTAAAAGTTTTATTTGATATATTTATTTGTTTTTTTTATTATTTAAAATTATGTTTTATTATTTAGTTTTTTTCTGTTTTTTGTTTATTTTATTTTTACACTTAAGTTAATAAAAACCCCAGCCAAAAGCATTTAAAAAAAAAATTACAACTTAAAATGTACAATAAAATATATCTAAAAATAACAATAAAAATACTAATAAACAAATAATGAGCAACACGTTGGTGGTGTTAATGGCAGTAATTTTTGTTTTTATAAAAATAAAAATGGTTAAATGCATTTTTTTGTTTGTTTCTCTTTTTGGTAATTTTTTTAGTTTAATTTTTTGTGTGTTTTTTTTTTTTTTTTTTGGTATGAAAATGTGTGAAAGTGTAATTTTAAGGGTATTTATACATATGTGTTGTTTGAAGTGATGTAATACAGTCAATCGAGGTAATAACGAAACTATTTTTGGGTTCCATATCAGAAACTATAAGAAATCTATCCAATTGGGTCCAATAAACATTTTTCGTTATAACCCTGTCTGACTGCTAATATTTAAATTTGCATTATAAAGCCAAATTAAAGCATGTGTGTATTTATGTATTATGTGTAGATGTATGTGCGCGTGTGTGTTGATGGAGTTGGTGTTATGAGCGGAACTAAGCACCTGATTCCTTAAGCAGATCAAGATAAATTCCTCTCAAATTGTTTGTGCTGGTATTTTTTAAATATGTGCGTAAGCATTTACAAAGAGATAGACATTTTTTGTGCGACTCTTTTATTTTCTTTCAAGCTGTAGCAGTATTAGCAGAATAGAGTAGGTAGTCTTAGTGCTCCATCCTCCATGTAAGACACTAGTGTCTTGAGGAGTTTCTATAAAAAGCAAAAAAGCATAGATCGATATCAATAATTTATATACAGAAAATAATAGTGGCGACGATTATGATTTATAGTTTCAATTTTTTTTATTAAATTTTGTCATACGCGGCTCCATGCCACTTCACTTACCTTACAATCAATGGGAAAACATTATTATCCTCAGGCGCTCTATAATCTCTGTAGTACAGCAAATAGGGATTCTTTTTGTTAACGAATAGTGGTGGCAGACCACCACCAGTGTTGGAAACAATGGCAATATCAGCACAGTTACGGAAGGTTTCTGGAAATAAATCATTACAGAAATAATAATTTTTATATGCATTTATTTTCTTTGTTATTTCTTGTTTTTGGTGTTTGTCATCTCTCTTTCTCTCTTACCAGCTTTACCACAACCCACAGCCTCAGTACCATTGGCACAAGTACCCCACATATTTGCCGTATAATAGGTCCATTGCAAAACACACTGGGTACAGGTGACATAGGGTGGCAAACGAACACGATAACGGAAAATATCCTTCTTTTTAGCTTCACGTGGTATCAAGAAACGATGTTCCCGACTTCCAGAGATATATAGGGGATAACGATCAAAACATTCTTGGGTGGCTTCTTTACGGGGATTATTGTTCGGACACAAATACATTTCAAAGCGACCATAATGGTTGGCAGTCAGCTCAACTTCGACATCAATTTCCTAAGGGGAATAGACATTAAGAAAGACAAAATAAAATATTTTTTTAAAAATAGAAAATTAATGGTATTTCCAAAAATCCTCGATTGTCTAACCTTCAAAAATATTAAAAATTAAACAATTTTCACATTAAAATCTTCTAAAAGATTCACGATTTATAGTCTAAAAGTTTTCAAAAATTCGCGACTTTTGATTTCGAAAATTTTAATAACCCACTAGTCTAAAATTGCACGAATAAAATCTTCGATTTTTTTTCACAAAAGCCTTAATTTATTTCTTGTCTAAAGAACCTATTTTTGGTCTAAAACACTCTCAATAAAACTTAGGATTATTGATCTTAAATCTGTTAATAAAATATTTGATTATTGGTCTGACGATATCTTAATAAAATCCAATATTTCAGGTCTACATGTCTTTAAGCAATATGCATAATGTTTGGTGTAAAAGTCCTTCAAATAAATCCAATGTCTTTGCCATAAAAGCTCTTATAAATCTATGTGTTTTGAAAAAAAACACGATTTCAGGTCTTAAGGCTCATTAATAAAATTTACGAATTTTGGAACAAAGGTTCTTCCAAAAAATCTACGATTTCTTGTCTAAAACTCCTTGTATAAAATCCCCAAATTATTCAATAAAATCTGGTCTAAAAGTCCACCAATAAAATCCACGAGTTCTGGTCTAAAAGTCTTAAAAAAAATTCACCACATTTGGTCTCAAAGTCCTAGTAGATTTTATAACTAGTTTATATATTTATTTAAACATGTTTTAACATATTATTTTATTTTCACAGAAAACTGCATATGTCAGAAAAACTAAGCTATCCACACATTAATATCGACAATAAATTAAATTTGAGTACCCTTTTGTAGCAAATTTCATGACTCGAGTTCACCCAAATTCAAATTGTACCAAATTTAGCATACATTATTTCCAATCCATCATACTTCCTGCATAGCCCGATCCTACACCCTCACAATTATATCAAGTTTAGTACACAATAGTACGAATTTCCAATATTTCCTACTGAACCCAAATCCACATCCCCACAGTTATCCCAAATCCAAGTTTCAGGATTCCAACTCTATCGGTTCACCCACAATTCAAATTGTACCAAATTTAGTACATAGTAGTACCAATTTCCAAAACTTCCTACATGCCCCATTTCTACACCCCCACAGTGATCCTAGATCCAACTTTCGGGATTCCAACACTATCGGTTCACCCACAATTCAAATTGTACCAAATTTATGACACAGTAGTACCAATTTCCAAAATTTCCAATCCTACACTTCCACAGTGATCCTAATTCCAAGTTTTAGGATTCAGGTTCACCCACAATTCAAAATGTACCAAATTTAGAACACATTAGTAAAAATTTTTAAAAATTCCTACATATCTCGATCTTACACCTCAACAGTGATCATGACTCAAAATTTCATGATTCTAGCTCTATTGGTTCACCTAAAATTCAAATTGTACCATATTTAGTACACATGATTATAAATTGCTTAAACTGAATCCTGACCCCTACAGTGATCATGACTACAAATTTCATTGTTTCCGCTCTATCGGTTCATCCAAATCCAAATTGTATCAATTATAGTACGATTTAGTTCTTTTCGTACACATCAGTGTAAATTTCCAAAACTACGTACATATCCCATCCCTACACTCCGATGGTAATGTTAATTTCAGGAATCCAGCTTGATTTGTACCTCCAAAATAAATTTGCATCAAATATAGTACCATATAATACTTTTTGAACACATGAGTACATGCTATCAAAACCATCTCCTTAAATGGAACCTACTTCTCAACCTTAAGCCACACTCCAAATTTCAAGTTTTAGCGCTATCCGTTCACATGCTACGAAATGGTACCTAATTTAGTACATTTTCGTACTTTTCGGATAGTTATAGCTCGAATTTCACATCTATCCTACCCTCCATCAACGACTACCAACCCAAATTTCAGAGTTCTAGCTCCAACGGTTCGCCAAATACAAATCACATTTAGTACTTTTCGTATCGTTCTAGTATGGATTTCCAAAAAAAACCCCAGTCTTATCTGTCACATTTGGGCCAAGAGTGAACCTCACCCAAAATTTCAAGATTCTAGCTTCAGCCGTTTCGTCTGGGCGTTGATTAATCGTTAAATCAGTCAGTCAGTCAATCAATTTACTCTTTTATTAGTATAGATGATTTCTGGTGTAAAATGCCTTCGACAAAGTCCATCTTTCTTGACTAAAAGTCATAAATGATATTTAAAAATCCACAATGTCTGGCCCAATAGTCGTTCACATTATCATTGATGTTATCGTTTTCTTTTCCTTTTACTCACCTGTCCCGCTGTATAATATTTCGATATAATACCCTTGGCATATTCGCCGCCGGCCTCATGCGGCCGTGGTGTTTTCAAATGATACGCATCACCGCATACACCACAACGTCCCTGATTTTGTTCCCATTGGACGGCATAGCCACCACAAAACAGTTCATTGTCATTGTAATTCACGGGATTTGGATAACCAAAACGCCACATGGCATTACGGGCGGGTGGATCCATCAGACGGCCATGACCAGCCACCAGGGTGGCCAAAAAAAGATTAAAGCCTAAAATGGCCTAAAAATCGAGAAATAAAAAATTAAAGGTATCACACATTTTTATAAAAAGAACACATATAAATAATACCCACCAATGAGACTAGCATGGAGTAGGACATTTTGTTACTACTTGAACACTCTACACAGGATGACAGTGATCTGAAATGAAAAGTAAAACAAAAACATCAGACATTGAAAATGTTGTTTATAAAAATTAACTGTTATATAACTGGTTTATGCGGTGAAAGATAGGCGACAACAACATAAAACAGCTATGCGGTTTAAAAAATAAAAAAAAAAGAAAACATAATGTAAATAACCTCACAGTTTAACCGGTAAAAGGAGAAAAACAAAACAGATAAGTTAAGAAAATTTCAAAAACTATAAAGCAAAATGATCAAAATTGTGATGAAATTTAATTTTGTAATATTATGCGAACGGACTATCCGATTTGAATCAAACCTATTATCTTCAGCAAGCCATTGGTCCACTCCTTCTTGTACCTCCTCTACAAATTGTCAAAATGTTCAATATTTATAAATCTAACATCAGGCGAGTGGAATGTCCGATTTGAACCAAACCTTGCACAAACTATTATCTTTACTTAGCCTAAATCAAGTTCGAAGATGGGAGCGATCGGTCCACTCTTTCTGATACCTCCCCAAACAGGGTTAATATTTTACATACTTGTTTATGTGTTTGAAATAAGCTCATTTTCCAAGAGAAATTTCGGGTTATCGGAAAATCAAAGATTTATTTCCCGAATATGTTAAGTATGGGTACATGTTTGTATATAGTCCCTATATCAGGGTCCAGCTCATTTTAGGTATTTTTTTATTGTCGTAGGCGTATTTTCAAATCGTAATTTGCATACCAGGTCTTTTTCAAATAATGTTGTCAATACAGGTCCATTTTTCAAATATGCATTGCATAAAGTTCCCGCCCTTTACAAAATGTTAAAGGTTTCAATTCGAAATAAAATCTTCTCTATTATATATCGCTCATTTGCTGCAAGACTCAAAAACTCAACTCAAAAAACGTGATTTTCGAGTTAATGATGCACGATTGTTCGCTATAATAGACCTTATGTTCTGTAAAAAATTCATATGAATATCTCTTACACACTAATTGAGAAGAAGTTCCCATATAAAGTGTGAGTAAATTGAAAACTTAAAACGCATTTTCTGCAAGATCGTTTTTTTGCGTTAGACTGTCTTGCACCAAATGAGCGATATGTTTGCAATCAAATTTTCACATATTTTCTTATAAAAAGTCGAAATCGTTTATAACGACACCGATTTTAGTGACATATCGGTTGATAGAGATAGATAACATTGTTTTTTACTATCCACTAGTCGAAAATGTCCCTGCTCCAAAATTACTTATTTTAAAAAATAATGTCCTTTCACTGTGTTATTATTTCTATATTTTTAATCGGTGTTTAAACCAACCTAAAACCCCCTCGTTCTGTTGACATTCCAATGAAGTGCAAGGACGTTTATAAGCAGGGCACAGAATATTTAACACATTGTCTATATCAACCTACGACCATTGACTGGACATAAATTGCCTTGGGCAGCAAAACATGTTGAACTATAAACAATCGACGAAATTCAATTTTCAGCATCGTCACCGATTATTAATTTTGGGGCTATGTCACAGCACTCATTGGCACATTAAAATATTGAATAAAATAAAATCCCCGAAAAGAGGCATTTAACAAAACAGAACAAAAATAACAACAACATCATTCAATATTAAAATGAACTTAAAACAGAATCACATTAACATTGCAGGGCAAAACCAACATCAGCATCAGCGTTAATATCAACAACACTATCAACAGCATAACTTAACGCTTGTTGTCGAACGTCGTACCTGGCTTGTTCGTAGACTGACTCTCTGTCTCCATCGTTGGTTGACAGCCGCACTTGGCAGTCAGCCAAATGGATTTAATCAGGTTTCAGTTTGAATTAATCGTATAGCTGGTACCATTTTAGTAGCTTAGCTACCCCCGCCTGAATTGTGTTTTGTACCAGAAGTGTCGACTGCAGAGTGACAACAAAGATGCAACAACGACAATATCCGATGATAGTCATTTGTAATTTGTATTTTTGGTAAAACAAAAGACCTGACATTACCTATTTGAAGCAATTGACAAAAATGTATTTAGGCAGAATCAACATGGAATTTTTTGTGGGGATAATAGGGAATTTGGATGTGATGTTCTTGTCAGGAAAGGTGAGGGACATTTATTTTCATATTTGGGAAACAAAACAATTTTAATTTTAATAAATACTGTGGGAATTAATGGGTTTCGGACACAGGCGTGTAACCTTTCGTGGTGTTCGGGTTGTGACCTTTTGAAAGTTTAGAAAAACAGACAAAAAAGTTGTTGGTCCATTCGATCTTCCAATAATTATTGATGACCAGAGTCCATAACTGTGACAATCGGTCCATAACTGTGATTTGCACTTTCATCTCAAATTACATTGGACAGACGCGCGGCAAACATAACTGAATCGATTCAGCCAGTTGAGATAGGTTTGATCTAGGAGTAATATTTAGTGGTGTTACAAATTCTTGAGGTCAAAGAAGTTCACAATATCCTCACACTTGTGTGTGGTATAATAATACAGTGAATTCCCGAATGTACACATCCTCTACAGTGAACTCTTGATAATGTGAACTAATTAATGTGGGGGTAGATCATATTTTCGAAATTGTTCACTTTTTCGCTTCGACCAGTTTATTTACCGCTATTTTTTTTTTTAATTTGTTCACAGTATCGAGAGTTCACTGTTTTAACATTTTGCCCCTTTAATAATTCAGCATCATTTTGTTTTCAAAACTTTGTAAACAAAATTCTGAAATATAGGTTACGTTATTATTATTATTATTATTGTGGCGCATGTACCAAAGAACAACAACACAATTATGCGTTTCAAATGCAAAACAGCAAAAAATTTGTATTAATGAAGATAAAAATAAAATCACGGTTGCAAATTATCAAAATAACAATAATGGGTACACACACCTTCTTGAGATCACGAGCCTTCTCATTCATGTTGTTTACGTTTTTTTTGGTTCGTTACGTTTCAAAGGTAACCTACCTCAATGGAATCGTCAAAATAAAATCAAAGCAAAACAACATCAATGAACCTGCAAATAAGTTTATGGATAACTATATTTTTTTGTTAATTCTGACTTAAGTGGAAGATACCTCTTTCTTTGCCTGCGATTATAATCATGATCATCAAAAAACACTAAAAATCGATATTAAAACGACACTTTGCTGGATTGTTTTGTGAATCGATATAAATAAAAACGGCTGTAAATTTCCAGATAAAGATTAATGTGATTTTGGTAGCGTTAATTAAAAATTAAATTTAACCTTTTGGAGTAAGGGTTTTAAAAGAACTGAACAAAGGTTTAAGATTTATACTAGTAAAGGGGTGTCATGAAGGGGCAGTCATTAGATTTGAGTACAGTCGAACTCGTTTAGAACTAACCCGCTTATATGAGACAAATTTCCCCATAACCTTGGCATACGATACACGATTTGTATACGCTTTATTTTCGACTGTATATGTTTTTTTCCTTTTTTGTTCCCAGTGGGTAAATTACTTCCTTGTTGCCTACAGCTCTAATTATCGTTCTAAAAAAATATGTATACCCTACACAATTATGTTGTCATAGTAGTACAGCTTTGTGTGGCCCTAAAAGTTTGTAACGCCGCGAAATATTGGTCCTATTCACCGTCGACGAAGATCGGCCCGTACATCTTTCGGAGAATTTTTCTCTCAAACACTCCAAGAGATACCGCAACTGCTTTCGCAAATGCCCATGCATAGTATCAGCGTCTTGTAGAGTTTGAGTTTGGTGTGGCGAAAAGTGGTCTTGTTCTTAAATTGCTTTCTTTGAATTTCAAAACTGACGTCCTTAGTTTTATATATGAGGGTACCGAGGTATATAAAATTGTTGACTACCTCAAAGCTGTAGTTTGCAAGTTTCACTGTTGGCCCGAGTCTAAGGCGCGTTTTGCTCGTTGATACCATCAACTTGGTAATTCCGCCATTTACTGGCAGACTCCTTCTCAGTTTGTTCAAAGGTGGCTGTTACTGTTCGCCTTGTTCGACCCATTAAGTCGATGTTATCGACGCAGGCGAATAAATTTTGCTGTTTGGCGTATAGAATGTCATTTACGGTATTTTGCATCTTGTATGACCTTTTGACCAGCAGAATATTAAAAAGTCACACGACAAACTGTCACCTTATATGAACGTTCGGTATTGAATGGCTGCATGAGGTTCTTTCCGACTTTAGCTGCTGACCTGCATAGTCGTAATAATTTAGCAGGTATACCAAACACAGACACGACCTTAAACATCTTTGAGCGGATTGGGCTGCCGAATACGACTTTATAGTCGACGAATTTATTTAATGTGTCTAGGTGTTTTTCGTGGGTCTTTTCCAGAATTTGACGCAGTATAAAAATTAGGTCTATGGTGGATTTGCCAGGTCTGAAGTCGCATTGGTATGGCCCAATTATGCCATTGACCATTGGCTTCGGTTGTTCACACTGCACGATGGATATCACTTTATATGCGATGGGAAGGAAACGAATTCCTCTATATTTGGTACATATTTTATCTCCTTTTTTGTGCACGGGACACAGGATGCTGAGGTTCTAATCATTGGGCATGTATTTCTCTAGGCAAATTCCAGGGTGCGGAGAATGTTTAAAATACGCTCTTTATCACGAATGCTCACGGCGGAAATTCGAAGGTTTTCAATTTATTGCGAATGATAAAGTTACAACGAATAAAACAAGTATTAACAATCTCTCGCGAATATTCACATTGTACGAAGAATTCACGAACGATAAAATTTCGCTGCAAGCGTCGTCGATTCGTTCATTCGCGAGCATTTGTAGCTGACGAGCATTTTTTTGAAAAACTTAAAAACAAAAAAAAAAAAAAAAATTTCGCGAATGCTCGAAGGTTGTTGAAAACAAAAATATCATAAAAATAGTAAACACACGCCGCGAATGAATGGGTGTTGCAGAAAATGTTGAGCATGTGTGGAATAACAAAACACATGCCCAACAACTAATGTGTTCACGGAAGTTTGTTGTTATTCATGTTGCTGTTTT